TAAAAACACTGCGCTCAAGTTCAAATCATTTCTATTTTTAAAAAAACGCTCAAGACCTTATAAGGTCGTTCTTATATGTTTTTCACCCATTTCACTGCCCATCTCACGTTTTTGTGAGCAAAAACGCGTTCTGTATGAACGAGCCCTTAGTATTGTTTAGATCCTTGTTCTGCATGGGATTAATAATCTGATTGTTAGCCATGGTTTATTTTCGGATGTCACTCACAGCTTCCAGACGCTCTCAACGCAAAAGCTTCGCGCGCTCGTGATTATTTAGCTCCGCCCACACGGCACGCCTCCACCCGCTCGGGTTTTTCCGGAAAGACTCGGTACAGCCTATCTTTCTTTTATAAATATAATAAAACTAAAGACTTTTTGGAGATATGAAGGATGCAATACTACTCTATAGGTACTCAAGATTAACATAAGATTGAGTGAAACTGAGTGTTTCACCCCCCCTTTAAGGATTGATGAATCGGCATGTCTCTATATAAATAGTCTCTGGTCAAAGTCTCTCTGTCTCAGTCTCTCTCTCTCAAAGTCTCTCTCTCTCAGTCAAAGTCTCTCTCTCAGTCTCTCTCTCTAAAAGTCTCTCTCTCTCAGTCAAAGTCTCTCTGTCTCAGTCTCTCTCTCTCAAAGTCTCTCTCTCTCAGTCAAAGTCTCTCTCTCTCAGTCAAAGTCTCTCTCTCAGTCTCTCTCTCTCTCAGTCAAAGTCTCTCTCTTTCTTAATTCAATTCAATTCAAAGGGGCTTTATTAGCATGACAGTTTTTGAAACAATGTTGCCAAAGCATATACAAAATATACAAATAAAATATATAATATACACTCACCTAAAGGATTATTAGGAACACCATACTGATACTGTGTTTGACCCCCTTTCGCCTTCAGAACTGCCTTAATTCTACGTGACATTGATTCAACAAGGTGCTGAAAGCATTCTTTAGAAATGTTGGCCCATATCGATAGGATAGCATCTTGCAGTTGATGGAGATTTGTGGGATGCACATCCAGGGCACGAAGCTCCCGTTCCACCACATCCCAAAGATGCTCTATTGGGTTGAGATCTGGTGACTGTGGGGGCCATTTTAGTACAGTGAACTCATTGTCATGTTCAAGAAACCAATTTGAAATGATTCGAGTTTTGTGACATGGTGCATTATCCTGCTGGAAGTAGCCATCAGAGGACGGGTACATGGTGGCCATAAAGGGATGGACATGGTCAGAAACAATGCTCAGGTAGGCCGTGGCATTTAAACGATGCCCAATTGGCACTAAGGGGCCTAAAGTGTGCCAAGAAAACATCCCCCACACCATTACACCACCACCACCAGCCTGCACAGTGGTAACAAGGCATGATGGTTCCATGTTCTCATTCTGTTTACGCCAAATTCTGACTCTAACATCTGAATGTCTCAACAGAAATCGAGACTCATCAGACCAGGCAACATTTTTCCAGTCTTCAACTGTCCAATTTTGGTGAGCTCTTGCAAATTGTAGCCTCTTTTTCCTATTTGTAGTGGAGATGAGTGGTACCCGGTGGGGTCTTCTGCTGTTGTAGCCCATCCGCCTCAAGGTTGTGCGTGTTGTGGCTTCACAAATGCTTTGCTGCATACCTCGGTTGTAACGAGTGGTTATTTCAGTCAAAGTTGCCCTTCTATCAGCTTGAATCAGTCGGCCCATTCTCCTCTGACCTCTAGCATCAACAAGGCATTTTCGCCCACAGGACTGCCGCATACTGGATGTTTTTCCATTTTCAAACCATTCTTTGTAAACCCTAGAAATGGTTGTGCGTGAAAATCCCAGTAACTGAGCAGATTGTGAAATACTCAGACCGGCCCGTCAGGCACCAACAACCATGCCACACTCAAAATTGCTTTGTTTCCCATTCTGACATTCAGTTTGGAGTTCAGGAGATTGTCTTGATCAGGAGCACACCCCTAAATGCATTGAAGCAACTGCCATGTGATTGGTTGATTAGATAATTGCATTAATGAGAAAATGAACAGGTGTTCCTAATAATCCTTTAGGTGAGTGTATATATTATATATAAACATTTTCTCTCTCTCTCTCTCAGTCAAAGTTTCTCGCTCTGTCTCTCTCTCTCTTGCTCAAACTTGCTGTTTAAATAACCAGGAGAAACAAAATAGAGGGTAGAGAAGGACAACATGTGGTTATTGTCTTTAAAAATATGGTAAAAGCAAGGGTTATGTTTGATTTCAAGTTCTATAAACTGATGAATGACTTAGAAAGTTTTTTGCACAAATGGTGTTTTAATGGAGCTATTTGTACAGTTGAAGAAGAAATGTTGATTTTTGCTATGATGTTACAATAAGTCTTGTTTTTTGTTCCTCCTTTTTTGTTTTTGGATAATGTGATTGAGTGATTTGCTGATGTTGTAATGATATAAATAAAGTGTGTTGAAAACTCTCTCTCTCTCTCTCTCTCTCTCTCTCTCTCTCTCTCTCTCTCTCTCTCTCTCTCTCAGTCTCTCTCTCTCTCAGTCTCTCTCTCTCTCAGTCTCTCTCTCTCTCAGTCTCTCTCTCTCTCTCTCTCTCAGTCTCTCTCTCTCGTGCTGCTGGTGGTCTCTGTAAGTCAGCGAGTCCTGAGGGGTTTGGATTGGTTCTAGAGGAGGCGGTGGGTAAAGCGTGTTGATGTGTTTGTTCACAGTCTCTGATTGGTGTGTTCAAGGGCATTGTTTGTAAAAGTGATGGATGATGGCCGTCTCTCTCTCACCTTCTCCAGTCAATCACTGTTGCCGAGGCCAAACGCCTCGATAAAAACACTAAATGTAATTTCCTATGAGGAAAGAAAGACTGCCAATTTGTTTTCAACACAATAATTCACTCATTCCCCCCAATATGACCAGTTATGGTCAGTGTTTGATCCAAACCGAGTGCTTGGCCAGAACCACACGCGAGGTGAAGAACAGAATTAGGAAGAGAAACACATTACAGCATCTGCAGGAACGTAATACATCAATGTTGGCTAGAAAATGAATGTAGTAAACCGCTCAATGAATCTCCTGATGTTTTGCTGGGAGCTGGTGTGAGGAAACATCACCGGCGCTCCTCTCGGGAGAAATAAAGCCATCTAATAGAGGCTCATACTGGAGGATTTCAACCTAAACACGTTACCAAACACGAATAAACCACACAATGCACTCACATACTTCTAAACCTCAACTCATCTATTATTATTTAGTAATATCATCAGTACAACTGCACTGACAGTGTCAGACGAGAACAGCATGTGAGCTGCGACAACAACACTTTGGTCTTGCTACAAATGAACATTAACACTAGCCTGGACGCCAGCCGAGCTTAGCTCCGCCCACAACACCTGAGGATGGGAAGTTCGGTCTGGACTTGATCCGTTGGGAAGCAAGTATACCTGAACCAGAGCTGTTCGGACCAATCACATTGTCAGGGCGGGGTTTATACGATGATGGACAGATGATCAACAGTAACGTCATCATCACGTCACCAAAGAGCGCTTGGGTTGAGTTCGTTTACAACAAAGATGGCCGCCGCTGGAGAACTGAGATCATCGCGTCTGTTATAGAAGAGGTACAGGGCATTCATTTTAAAAGAGGAACAGATTTTCTTTCCTGGTTCGGTTGAAACGCCCCATAATCACAGCATCAGACTCACACTCTGACTAGCATCTGATGCCCCGTTTACACGAAGGGAAGACGCAGATATTTCCCTGCGGTTTGGCCTCTCATTTACACGAAAACCCTGTTTTTAATCACAGAAAACGGTTATTTCTAAAAACTCTGGCCAAAGTGGAGATTTCTGATAACGCCGGTTATGTGTTGCCGTGTCGACTGGGAGAAACGGGGTTTTAGGTTCTCAAACGTCACATTATGCGCCAGAACATGCTTAACGTCATGTGAGCGCCCAGAGTTATGATGGCGCTCGACGGCGGATTTATGCGGGTTGATGTTAATGACAACTTTTTTTAAAAAAAAAGTGTTGTGTGCACAATGTCATTATTGAAAATGGAGGGGGGGAAATATTCGTTTCTCTAAATACCCGGCGATGTGTAAATGTGACGACGTCAGGCTACATTACCACAGTACTAAACTACTATTCACTAACACTAAAATGCTCACAATGAAACATATTACAGGATCGGTGTAGTCTGACACCCAACGGATGAGTCTCATCAATCAGTTCTGTTAAACAAATACCAGCATTTATGAATCAGTTGAAGTGATTATTGAATTATTTAGTAAAATGTTATTTTCCTCAGGTCCAATTTGAAGTGAATAAATAAGATAATAACAACAACCATTATTATTATTATTTAATATATGATAATAATACCTAAAAAATATATAATATGAATAATCATTATAAATTTGATATATAATATAATACTAAAAACTGTTACTGAACTGAATAATTACACTATTGTCTTTACAGCTGAATTGAATCCTTTTCATAATTGATGAACTTTTCAAGATTTACACTTTTATTTATTTCCCTGTTTCTCACTCAGGGTTCGCACGGATACTGGAAAAATTTTTAAGCTAGTTTTCAAGCACTGCAATCAGAGGTCTCACTTCTTTATTATCTTTCAAATTATATTAAAAAAAGCTAAATAGACAAATGAAAATAAACTAATGGTCAAGTGCAGCACATGCAATGACTAGTAACTTTCACCATTGAAAGGATACCATGACAAATATATAATCCTTATTCAAAATGATTTCCCCCCCATGAATATATGATTGACTTGAAGAATAAAAGCTGTATCATATACTTGGATATTATGAGCAATATCACACATGCCTCTATATCAGCTGAGCTTTTGCGTGAAAAGATTGTTTCATCAATCCAATTAAACACTAACTTCACATTTATTGTCTTTCAATAATTCAAGCGCTTTTCCTTTGCATAAATGTGTGTGTTTGATGAGTGTTCCCGCACCTTAAGCCCCTGCACGAGCCCTGAGCTGCAGTTTTGTCTAGATTAAGGTGTTCGGCTGGACTGACCTCCTGCGCGACGATGCTGGAGATGCGGACGGCCCGTCTCACCCTGGCGTTCCTGCTTCCCGGCGCTCCCTCGTTCGGGATGCTGTCTCTCCCGCTGAACGACATCTCGCTCATCATCTGCTCACTCCCCCCTGAACATCGGGCTTCGTGACGCCCGTCCCGGGCCTGGCCATCCGCCCCGCGCGCCAGAGCGACCCCGACCCCGTCCACGACCCCGACCCCGGCTCCCGCTGTGAGGATCTGGATCTACGGGAGCAGCTGGAGCCGATATCTCTCCCTCGAGTCAAACTGCACC